GGAGGGAAAAGTGTTCTTGCCATAAAACACTTGTCACAGACTCTTAAGGTGATTTATCTTCTGTGAATTTGTAGGTTTTTAGATAAATGGCCAGTGCCTTATAAACGTCTTGCTGCAGTGAACCTAGTAGGCATTTAAAGACACTCATAGGAATACCACAGACAGAATAGATAGTAGATATTTACAGGAGTTGTTACAATTGCTTAATGCTAGCAGACATAACAGAGAAGCCAAGGAAAATAACCTTCTGCCTTGACAGTGGGACATTACTGGAATAAACAATGTACCTTGCAATTACAGGGCCCAAAACAAGGGTCCTCATTTATGCTCCCTGAGCCACTGCAGTTACAGGGTTTGCATTCTGGGTAGCCAGTATAGCCCCTGGCACACCGATCACAGCTCACTCCTCCAAAGCCAGTTTTACAATGACAGGATCCAGGTGCCAGACCTAAGGGAAGATGAGCCACATATTAACATTTTTAAAACAAATATATAATTTAGTTTTTAAGGTTTTATAGTAACCTCCAGAAGCCTATTTTGATACAAAAATTAGATTCTCAATGTACATCAACAAAGAAAAGTCAAAACCAAAGGGTATAGGGTTTAATTAGAAGCTTGCTATGATTATACTAACACAGCATCTTCTACTCAAAGCATTCACCAAACTAAAGCTACAGAAAATTATTAACAATTATTAAGGAGTAATTTCCACAAACTCTAAGGCTGATGACACCACATTGAGAAGGAAAAACAGTAACCGGTGTATACACGACGGCTCATAAAACAAGCCTGCACCACCAGACTATCACAAGATGAAAAAGAGCCTTGGAAATAAACATATATTACTTAAAACAATTTAACAACAATAATCTGAGGACAACATCACTGGCAGTATTACTAAAGAAAAGACAAAAGGTGTTCATGGGAGTGGATATTTTGGGGATAGGGAGACATAGAGCAGGGAAATGAAAGTAGTTTAAATTTACTTTTTTTACAAAGAGATTCAAAAGACAATTTTTATTCATGTCTTTGATTAGAAAAATAGAAAAAAAATCAAGACAAATGAATACAAGATATAGACCTTCAAAATCTAGGTAAAGATAAGGGCAAATCAATAAAATATAATCCATCAGAAAAAAGAAAGGAGGGCAGAAAAAAAGAAAGGAGGGGAAACATTGTAGTGAGAAAGCATAAAACAGAATGACAGAAATGGTGTCAAACATATATACCAATATATACAAATGAGTTAAACAGTCTTACCATTCTTATTAAAAACATGTACATGTACTGTGTATAAGAGATACACAAAATGACCAGAAACATTAAAAATAAAAGAACATAAATATATATTAGAAAAGCATAGAGATAAGAAAAAAATGTTGCAGTAGTATTATTTAGGGTCAAAGTGAATTCAAATAAAATAGATTCAAACTTTCATTTTACATTAACAAAGATGCAATAAAACATGATTGAAGTTATTATATTTACCCTTCAATTAAGCACTAATTATAAGTACAAGAATATACAGAAAACAACAGTTTAGGAAATCAAAGAAAAATTGTTCAAATATTAATGGCTGAGAATGACATTAACCTATCCATCTTAAATATTTACAGATGATAGGGAAAAAATCATAGAAAACTTGAATAATCTAATAATGTTGAATTATGTATTATATGGTATATAACTAGATTTACCAAAGCCCAGCATTTACTAATACACAAAAATGTTCAATTTATCAAAGCAGAAATTATCTAAGGTTTATTTTCTTAACATATTACTACTTCTAGATTAATATCAAAAAATTGGGATTAAGTTAATTATGAATACCAAGCATGAAGA